AACCTAAATTACGGTGGGTAACGTGAAGTTGAGGGATTTCGGTTTCCTTTTAAGTTCTCGCCTTTTTTAAGCTCTGCGTTAGGTTTCTGTTAACTCTTGCGTGGGCAACGAAAGTGTTTGTCAAGATTTCAACGTTTAGCTTTTTCTTTTGGAATCATAAATTGATACAGAAATGTGCTAAGATTTCGATTTTCTTTTCAAGTTTATTCTCTGCGAAGATTCACTTGACTTTTACGTGTATAACAAAGATATTTACAATTGCTAAAGCTTCAATATAAAGTTTGCACAAATTTGTATTCCATAATCCCGAATCGACGTAAAAACGTTCAAGAAATGATGATCTGAAGCGATTTTCCAATTTTCGTAAGGATTTGAAAATTCATTAACCGTTTTCGGTCGAATGTCCTCTTAAAGACGACTTCGAGCTGTCATTTAACATCGAAAGCATCGAATGAATAAGTGAATTATTCAAATAATGAGAAATTGGTACATGGTTTTCTTTCTTTCTGTCTAACATTTAAGATGTCGAAGCATAATTCAGTGTTTTATGAAAGGAGTTTTTAAAAGTTTCGCAATTCTTGTCAAGGTTAATAGAATTGTAGGCACCGGCATTCATCGTTTAACTAACGAGGTATTAAGTAATGAATTAAACAATGCCCACTTCACGGAATCCATGTATTTAATACACGAACAATTTTGATGAAAAGTGACTGCAAGGGTTCTCCTGAAGATTATACAATCCCTCTACGCTCTGAACTCTGACTTTTGACGGAATCGTTCAGCTTTTCTCATCCCATTCTGTTACGCAGCCACTCAATCTACAACAATTTTCTCTTTCATCCCCACTCTACGCCTCTCATGCATTCCCAGCAAACGTTCGGTCACCTAAAACCATTCATCCGATCCAGGCACTCTAATGCATTGGCTAAAAGCCGGCTCTCCCGATTGCCACCAGTATCTCAAACAAAGCATATCCAAACAGTCTACTATTACCCCTAGCGTGGCTCTTTACGAAGTCTGTTATATTGGCAACCGGGTAAATAGCCATTTTGAAACTTTCTTCCACGCAATTTTGTCCTCCTCTCGTGGAAATATAAAAAAATTGCTTTGGATTTTCATTTTATGACACTTTTATATCGATCTTTGCCTCCAAAATGAAGAATTTAAGCAGAAACATTGTAACAATTTGGATAAATGCTGACATTTTGGTTGCCAACGTAAGGGTTAAACATATTGTAGATGAAAGCATTGGGTTGTAATGTAAATTTGTTCGGATATATTGAACACTGTCTTGTTATTATAGTTTCATACGGCAGTGAAATAATAATGTTGGGATTTTATATAGAAATATTGTATGTGCCAGTGAGAATACTATAAAATATTATGTATAGAGCAATATTAGTATTAATAATGGAATAATAATATATTGTAGAATATAGTAGTGTACTATATTATAGTATAATATTCTATAATTAATATTATAATACAATAAAAAGAATTAAAATTATAGTATAATCAGAAATCTGATGTTTGGAATTCATAATGTTTTCCATAAGTATTTGCCTACTTTTAGATTTCACATGGAAATGCCATCAGACATTGCTTGCATGCTTCTATGCAATTCAATTATTACCAAGTTAAAAACGATTGAAAATCTTTTTCTGTATATTATGCTATTATAGAGCAACATCAGAAAGGAACAGTGGCATTTTCTGCTTCGTTATAGTTATTTTCTTACTTGTTTTAATATACGTCGCGCTGTTTCTTTAGGATCGCGTGATGAATAAACCGTTCGTCTTGGTGGAATGCACGGTTTGCAGACTCAATATTCCGTAAAGGGCATGCCACGGTAATTAACTTTCCTTCATGAAGTTCCATAGCTTGTCTCGGTAGTCGTAATAGAATTAACAGGCGCAGCTCCTCGTGCTAAGCCTAGCCAATTATTGGATATATAAACTATAAACGGCTTGTTTATTGGTCACTGACTGCTTAACAATTCCTCAAGATTTAATCCTGAACAGTCGAGAGCGTTTTTTGTGATATACTTCTATAGGAGGACAAAGAATTAGGCGAAGGCTTATAAAATGTTTACAAGAAAACTTAAATAACACATTTTAAATTGTTTTATTTAAATATGAATTCAAGATATCTAGTTCATTAAATTCTTTACGTGTCCCCGTATTGGGGCCATTCGTTTTCTATGACATAAGGGTTAATATTGCTGCCTTTCTTTTTAAACGTCCCTCTTTTCATTTTTCTCGTGTTATGTAGTTGGATTGATGGAAATTGGAATTTTATTTTCTTAAATATTTTTATACTGTGAACGACTTGTAGAAAATTGGTCAAATAAAACGAAAGAATCTTCTTTAACAAAATTTTGGTAAGATAATTTGGGAGGTAAAGCAACAGATGTTATATAGGCAATACGATATAGTAATAAAATGCCTGAATATGTTTGTTTGATATTATCATAAGAATGTGTTGTATGCCCCTAACATTAACAAAGCAGTTTTAGTAAATATCAAGCCTAGGGTTATTACATCTGTTTTCACTTTCAATATTGACACATTATATACTCGGGAAAAAATGATAAAACGTATGGTAATCATAAATAAAGAATTACTTTTGTAAGTAATGCAAATTTTAATCTTTATCTGCGATATATATAATGTACGAAATAGTCCGAAGTTTCAGTCACAAAAAGCTTTTAATTAATCCATGGATCGATAAAAAGTGAACACGTTGCTTTTTCCCCATTGAATCTACTGGGAATTGTTCGGTTTTATGTTTTGCATATAAAAAGGTTTAATTGTATCATATTATAACTATAGTTGCGGCGTTCAATCGTTTTTATTCCACTACAGTTTTATTTATTGGATTGAGAAATAAAGAATAGATATTAAAGCTAAAAAATAAGTAAATTAAATAGAGAATATATTTTTATAACAAATATTTTATTTGTTTATGTGAATCAGTATAAAAATAAATAAATAATCGATTGATAATCGTATTGATCTATGAATCGCGTATATGACTCACTCTTCGCGCACTTGAGAACAAGCGGCTCAGTGGTCTAGGGGTATGATTCTCGCTTTGGGTGCGAGAGGTCCCGGGTTCAAATCCCGGCTGAGCCCAAATTTTTTTTTTCTGTATTATACTATTTCTTCCTTTTGTTAACATACTTATTGACATTATTAGCGAAGGAGAATTTTTTAAGAATACAAATTTACATTACATTAAGGATCTAATGTGTAAAATATTTTCCAGCATACACGTAGTTGATTACTTTATTCATATAAGTGTGAAGTATAGTAAAATAACACGTTAAATAACATCTTTATAAATTTTAACCGAATAGAATATGTAATGATGGAAATGTAATCGGCATCCACGATCGAATACTTACAAAATAGATTTTCAATTCATAAATGTATCGGGACGTTATTCTAAAAATCATCGTGTAAAATAAAAGAAATGTTACTGCATCACTTAACTGTTTATTTGCAATATTGATATATGAACATTGTTTTTATTTAATTAAGTGTTAGACGAAATATTAATTACATATATGAATCAAGTAAAGTAGAAAGACACAGTTCTGTAAATTTTAGTTAACGTAACAAAATTTTGTTTTGTTTTGACAAAATTACAAAATAAGGAAAATGAATGTTTATCGAATGTCGTTTGTATATATTAAATAGAAAAAAATATATTTGAATCAATATGTGTATGCCACTTGTAAGTGAATGGAGTGACGGATGGTATAAGCCAAACAATCGTGAGCGGCTCAGTGGTCTAGGGGTATGATTCTCGCTTTGGGTGCGAGAGGTCCCGGGTTCAAATCCCGGCTGAGCCCAATTTTTTTCATTTTTTTTTCACAGTTGTATTCGTATCGTTATCATCACTGATTGTACGATACATTTTATCATTTATATATACAAATTTACAAATGTTACATCACTGTTAGAAATTGCAATGCACAAATCACGTTTTCAAGCCCATTTTTATTATTCTGTTTCGCTCAGTTGTTTCGCATTTATGTAATAATTCAGTTGCCCATTTAAATTGTTATGCCAATATTCTACACAACGATGCACAGTTAAAGTAATTTTTATTGGTCCTGTTTTATAGAGTATCTTATAATTTTATATAGCTTTTTTCTGCGTTATTAATTTTGTACTCTTTATTACAAACTACTCTTCTAAATATATTATATACAGTATGTCCATTTCATTCATATACACTCGAATATTTCCGTAATTATCGAAGATTCGGAAAAATGTTTCAGATAATAGTTGATCGACGCGATGGTGGATATTTAGTAAGCTCGTTCGATCTTTTTTACATCCTCATTTAAACAGATGCCGAGGTCAATGCAGCTTTTTTAAACGAAACAACGTGTTTCCATTGTCGTCAGTTTATTGTACTTTTCAATACGAATTCAACAATTTTTACAACGTTACCTTTCACTAATAATACATCGACTATTTTTATAAACATTCGTAGGAAGCATCAGCTTCGGTAGATCTTTCGTCCTCTACGTCCCTCGAGGGTCTAAACCATTAAATATCGTCTCAGCATCCCCAATTATACTAATTTAAAATATACAATGTCAATATGTATCACTTCTTATTAAAGAATATACAAAATTCAATATTTTAACTTTAACTTAAATTCAATTCTTTGAAGAACCCGACTTAACTCGATTTAATCATCGAATTCGCAATATTTTCTGATTCTCGCACTCCACTAAACCCAATCATTTAAGAGTGAGCAGGGTAAAACGGAACATTCAGTGTTTTCCATAAATAATGAGCTCGTATCGTGTAGCACGACAGGCTTAATAAGTTCTCGGTATAGTTTGTCATCAACTGCATCAACGTACAAGTGTTACCCACGAAAAACATTGGTGTTCCGTTTTGTCTTCTTTCCTCTTATAATATTCTCTACAAAAAGGCAATCGACTAACAAACAAATCATTCTTTGACGAACTGTTACAGGCCCAGCGCAATGGCGACCGAGGAGGGTACGCTGAGTGGTGGTCTGGGTGCAAAACTAAAATGTCCGACCCCCATATCACGGTTAAGGGTGGAGAAGATAGAAGGTGGTCTGATGGTTGCTGGAGTCGTAATAGCTGCGAACTGCCAGATTGCTCTTCCGGCATTCGGGTTTCTCTTCATGCTCGTTGGCGCTGTGCTCACTGGTTTGTATCTTCCTCCTTATTGTTTCTGCCCACTGTGTATTCTACATATATCGCGCGCCATTGTTCTCCGCCGCGATTGTCTGCTAATATTGGAACGAAATAAGGGACAAAAGGTAACTATCTTGGTCGTTGCAAATGCTTTCACGAAAGTATTTTGGTATTGAGTAAATAATACGAATTGCCGTGATAATGGAAACGGGCCTCCTTCTATCGAAGATTGATCGGAATTGTTCCGTTTGAGACGTCGGGAACGGAATCGTGACGTCGGGGACGGAAGGCGGGGAACCCTTAACAGAATGTTTCAATTAAGCATTGTCTGCTAAAGTAAGATTTATTGTGGTTTATCTCAACAGAATCTAATTGCCGAGAACGCGATCGAGGTATTAGCGACGTCAGTTTGAATATAATTTCGCTCGATTTATCCGGTATAGTTCTATAGAAAAACCTGTAATTAACGGAAAATTATGTAGATACGAGTTTGACTCCTTCTCCAATAGCATCAAATCAGACTCGTGATGAAAATATTCAACTGCATTCGATAAATATAAGTCTTATTTATTTCCCATATAAGCGGAATACTAGTTGTCTATCATTGACATTTAACCTTTATAGCAAACGCAGCATAGAATAAACATGATATTTTTTATTTTTTTCTACTACATTATTAACGTTAAAGTAGTTTTGCCAACACAGTTGTGAAAGAAAGCATAGGGAAAGGGTTAAGTACTGCTAGATCACTTTTCAGTTTGATTGATCAGTTTTTATTCTTTGTTACCCGATTTTGTTTCATTTCCATTCCTGATACTTTCGGTTACTAATTTACTTATTATATAGTAATGTATGAGTACAATTACATGTAAATAATCAAAACTATAAGACTGTAAACTAGAAAAGCACGTTTTGCTTCTGCGCTCTTTCGCTAGACGTCAAATCATCGTTTAACCGTACCTAATATGCTTTAAGATTAATTTTTACGTATCTACCGATCACTATTTATTTTCAGTAATTCTTATACAAGAATGAAAGGGAAAAGGTTGAGAAACAGATTGTTTTATTACGTATAATTTATACAATGTGCTTGGGGCGCATAATAAATGAGAAAACAGTGTTCTAAGAAGCCGTAACGTTATTACATCATGGGACGACCATAGGAAAGTATTATTCAACTACTTTCGCATACATCGTTCGAGCCTAGTCGTTATATAAAATGTTTGTTCTTCTGTAATAGATACTCCAGTCCATTGAATAATTGAATTAGAAGACAATCCTTGCGCGCGCCGCGCAAATCAATTATTATCATCAACAGTTGATAGAATTATATAGTAGGAAAGTATTTAATCTTTGATCTCGGTTGAATGATTCACAGTCCACCAGGAAATCATTATGTCATCGATCGGAATGAATAGAACTTGTTAATTACTAACAATATTACTTATTTATTTGAAAAATGTGTTTCGTAATTACTTTAATTGATTCACGATAAAAATGATTTAATATTGTTTATTGAGATATAGAGATTCAGTTTAAGCAGATCATCGATGTCCTATTTTATAAACTAAGTATATTTATTATGAAAAACAGTTTTATTCAGTTCGAATTTTTTAAATTAAATGTTGAACTTCTTTATTTCGTCCTGGAATGATCTCAGAGAATAGAATCTTAATTCTTAAGATGAGCCTTGTTCTTTTGCATAACAAAAATAAAGAAATTGTTTCTATTTATTATCTTTGTTGTATCCGTTTTTAATTTTCGCTGTTCTACTTACTATTTTTGCTATTTACATTTTAAATTTTTATTGTCAACGAAGAAGATTCGCGAAGTCCCTAAAGCTGCAGCTAAGGCCTAAGATGACACGCGACACGTCAAATGTCCAATGAAGTTTCTTCACCTAAGCTTATTGTTAGCTAAACGTAGGAGTAGATGCATTCATAGACCAGACGTTCTGCTCTGATCTGATAGAAGCCTCTGTCGTATTCACGGAATTTGATTAGTTATGTCGAATAGGAAACCTTGTGTCTAAGCTCAGCCTGCCAATGGATGCTCAAATGACGATGTTACAAGAGGCGAACGATTCCTTGAAAATTGCTACGTCGACCCACGTGCGCGATTGACAAGTCGTATAAGCTTCCTCGAAAGAAACAAAGACTGTTCGTCGAACGCAATACGATTCAGTGGAAACCAACAACTGATTAATGTTCTTAATTACATTCCTCGTTTAACCCTTTAAAGACACTGAATTATAAAAAAACCACAAAGAGACGTCTTTTTTATTTTCTTACCTTACTAAACGAGTGTTTGTAGAATTGTGTTGCACACTATTTTTCTATTCGCAATAAATGGAGATTTTTAGGTCTGTACTTAAGAGATTAACCATTTATGATCGAATCTTTTGGTGAAATTTATTGAACTTTTTTACAAATGAAAAAAGAAAAACATATTTTGTCGTGAATTTCATTAATTTTTATACGATTTTTTTTATTACTCAATGTTAAATGTATCTTTTATTAGAATTGTACCACTTCGAAAATGTTTTTATGAAATATTAGAAACAAATAATATGCAACTGCCACTATAAAAGGTGTGAAAAGGTTTTTACCAGAATAATATGGAAGATATTTATATAACCATAATAAATATTTTATTATACATTTCCTTTTTACGTTCCTTAGCCTCTAATGCATTTTATAAAGCGTATTTCTCTTCCCCAATTTTAGGGGCTATTTTCACCCCATGCATATAAAAACTGGCAACTATAAAGAAGTATATACCCAATACATTTTGACGCCTAATTCGCAGGCAAAGTTTCGCAGCAATTGAGATGTATGAGCAGAATGATGTTTCTTGATAGTGATTATAATTTACAATTTGTATGCGGCATATTTAACTTGCGAGGAATTTGCGTTGTAGTTTTTTTCACAGGAGTACTTTGCATTTAAAATGTAGTGAGTCATGAAAGTATTCAAGCAATTTCAATTGGAAAGTGTATTGAATGTTAAGTAAAAAGCTATTAAAGTATGCAAGCTCAGAAACTATCTGATAACTTCCGAAGTCTCTAGATGATTCTTAATATGACTACATAGTAATTTGTTCATCTGCTTATGCTAATAATTTAACAATAAATCGTAACGTAATAAATATTATCAAATAATACATAATGTATCCAAATATTGGTAGTCACTGATGACATTACTCTTAACGTAACCACCATAAAATAAACTAAAATAAACGAGAAACAGAAATACTCTCATCAAGCATAACTTCCGCCATTTTGTGCCGCGTATTTTCTCGCGTGTCGCCGTTTGAGAACCACTGCGCGAGGTGATCGAACTCCAGGATGGCGATGCAGCGTTTATGTCACGAAGACGAAGAAGAAGAAGAAGAAGAAGCTGAGGAAAAAAACGTAGGAAGAAAGGTTGGGCTGTTCACGAAGAGGCAACAGCTGGTCGTTTACTTGTTAGCCACAGTTTCTCGGATACGGGCCCGGACGGTTGTTACCAACCGATTTATTAAAACCGGTCAGTCCTTCCCCCAGCCTCCTTCGCTATTCTTTTTCTTGCCCCCGGCACTCTCGATGGGACCGGTCCTGTAGCCCATTTCCCTTTCGTTCCATGTTATCTGGTCCCGAACCGGCTATTTCACGTGAAATCGGCCATCGTGTGAAGATACTCTAAATTCGCGAGGATTTTAGTTTGCTTATCGCGTTCACGCTGGCACATTTTATAGGCAATCGTTTATCAATTGGCAACGTAGTCATGTGAGATTACGTAGATACATACTATATATACAGTGCGTTACTGACATGTTCCCAACTGGCTGGTGGCTTAAGCTTTAACACTCTAGATGGTTTTGTAATTTATCAGCAACTGCAACTAATTTTTATGGTATCTCCAGTGAAAATGAAAAATGCTATAACATTCTTTCGGTCTTTTATTTTCCTTCTCAGTACAACATTTGGATGTGTGGAAAATCTAATAATTTTAGGATAGTTTCTTTGATTTGTTAAAATATTTGATATTATAACTGGTGCAATATTGGAGCCTACAGAGTTCAAAGGGTTAAAAGTGAAGAGACGTCCACTCGCTACGCTCGCTCCGATAGTAATGGCGGAATTAGTTTCGGCACGTCTCTTACTGACCGAGCCGCGAGCTGAGGTGGAGCGTGTGGCCAATTCCCCTTGCCCCTCTTCATTTTTGAGCCACAGTTTGGAATCATGTCAATAACGCACTGTATATATATCTGTATACATATATAATATATTTTTCATTATATTTTTCGTATAATATATGTTTACATATTTTAGGAGTCTTTTTATTAACCCTTTGCACTGTTTCTTCCACAATTATAGTAGATACAACCATTTACTTTGCCGTTAACACGTTGACTGCCACGAAAAACTTCAGAGTTTTATGTATCGCTTATTCTTTTGTAGCAAAGATAAAGAGAAATAGTTACTTATTATTTGGTATCTTAATGCTTACGTTACACTGTCATCTAGTAATTTATACTAAGGTGGAGTGGGGTAACTGCACCCCAGTTTTTAGTAAGTTTAACTTTCAACCCATATGTCTTTAATTTGTTTTATAATACTTTAACATTTATTGAAATCAACGAATACTTGAGTTAATACTATTAATAATTAATAGTAATGGTACAATGTTAAATGTTAAAAAATGATATTTTTGAACAAATGTATTAATCAGAATAAATGTATTAATAAGAGCCCGTTTATGCACTTAAGCTACTCCACCTTATTAAACATTCTCATTCGATATTAGTTATTTGACAAATTATAATTATTAACAAGTAATTTGAAAGCTCCACTCATCGGTGATCGACCTGGCAGTCAACGTATTAATTTAGTGAAGAGAAAGAAAACTTTTAGGTATATTCTATGTGTATGATTGCTCTAAAGCAGTGTTTCTCAACCTTTCATGTGCCATGCCCACCTAAGCCTTTCTAAAATTTTTATGCCCCCCTATGTAACATGTATATAATTTTTA